GCAATATAACAAAGAGTGAAAAATTGAAGGGGGTCTGAATACTTTCCGTACCCACTGTATATGACATGAATCGGTTGCTCTATGGTGTGTCTAGTGCACCAGCAATCTTTCAACGTATCATGGATCAGACGTTACAAGGCCTGTCGAATGTAATCTGTTACTTGGACGACATTCTGATCACTGGTAAAAACGAAAGTGAACATTGGAAAAATGTTGAACGGGTGTTTCAAAGGTTACAAGATAGAGGTATTAGAGTGAATAGGGCCAAATGTGATTTCTGTCAACCTCATGTAACCTATTTGGGGCACAGAATTGATCAGGAAGGCGTGCGCCCAGTACCGCACCCAAAAACAAGAACTTTTTTAGTTTTACTCTCGTACTACGGAAAATTCATGGAAAACTTGTCGACTGTAATTAAACCGATGACTGAACTATTACACAAGGACCGGCCTTGGCAGTGGTCAAAGGTATTTTAAGCATCGTTTGAAGAGGCTAAAAAGCTTTTGTCTTCTTCAAAGGTGTTGACACATTTTGACCCTCAGTTACCCATATTGTTAGCGATGCATCTGCATATGGAGTAGGGGCAGTGACTTCTCATCAAATGTCCGATGGTTTGGAAAAACCCATTGCATATGCTTCACACACTCTTAGCAAGTCGGAATTGAACTATTTCCAAATTGAAAAAGAAGCAGTGGGCATTATTTTTGGAGTGCAAAAGTTTAGAGACTATTTGTACGGCTGATCATTTTTGCTCATTATGGACCATCAGCCTTTGGTTAAGATTTTAGGACCAAACACCGGATTGTATTATTTTACAATCAAATTAGAAGAAAAAAAAACTATTCAGTCAGGACCCCTACTGACCCCCACCACAAGGTGTCGCTCACTTACTGACCTCAGACTTCTAGAGGGGAAGTAGACTCAAGCTTGAGTAAAGGTAGGAGGGTACGGAGCCTGTGACTGTTCTGTCAGCAAGCAAGCATGAACTTGATGCAAACCAAAACCGGTAGCCAATAGAGAGATAAAGAGAGGTGTGACGTGGGCTTCCTTGGGTTCATTGAAGACCAGTAATGCTGGTGTTTTCATTTTTCATGATTGTTTTGTTGAATCATATGTAGAGGTTTTATTGCACATGATGGAAGTCCAGCCTAGACATGACAACAGCCTGGACAAAAAGTTGTGCAGCATACTCCGTTAGGAAGGGCCTGATGTTCCTGATGTTGTGCAGTGCAAACCTGCAGGATCGAGTGTCTTTTGCAATGTCCTCTTTGATGGTCAGCCGGTCATCAAAGATTACTCCAGAATTTCTTGATGGGATTATTGTTGTTGATCCCAGCTGGATGGTGAGATTGTACTGTACAGTTGGAGTGACTGGGAAGACGAGAAGCTCTGTCTTTGCCAGGTTGAGCTGCAGGTGATGTTGTTTCATCCAAGTCATGATGTCCGTCAGGCAGTCTGGGGATGGAGGAGGACCTAAGCAGCACAATGAAAACAGCTAAAGGAAATAGTAACTTAAACAGTGATGTGATGTGCAGACAGGTAGACATGGATCAGCTAAGCATCACTGGTTGCCGCTTGACTGACATGGCCTGCTTGATTTATTAAATATTTGTAAAATATGATCATTGTATTTCTTTTATTTCACTCCCTTTGTGTCAAACAATGTTTCTCATCATGGTTTATTGTTTCTGTAGAGTAAAGAATCATAAAAGTCAGCGGCAGGACAGGAAGAAGCCCTTCACCTACAAAACACCTGCTCTGAATGGCCATTCTCATGCACATGATGCTTGATGTAAACAAGACCAACCGCAGCCAGTTTCAGTTTGAATCAGAAGCGGAACATCAGTAAAACTGGTACTGGTACTGTGAGATGGTACAAAGTTTTAACTTTGTATTTTGTTTTTTCCATATACTAAAATTGTGAACTGAATACAACCATTGTAAAAAATCACTAGTGGATCTACTTCACAATGAAATTTAGTTAATCCAAAAAATAAATAAATAAATTTACTAAACTAAAAAAATACTTAGATTATTAAAAAAATGTTAGATTTTTCCCAACATTATGAAGTTTATACAAACATTTTATGAATATTATATATAGTTTTTTTTAAACGCGTTCAGATCATGTACGTACAAACTCTGCCGGGGGAGGATTCACAAACCAGATTAACAGGTTGAGTACAGTCTTATTAGATCAGACTTTTCACTAAACCGTTAAAGAACATGTTTCATGTGTTTGTTTTGTTCTGTTTGTGCTGGTGCCGTCTGATTGGTAAGTTCTAAAAACTTTTTTTTTAAACGTATAATTTCTTTCCATTTTAGGGTAATAAAGCTACTGCTTCTAGTTTAAATTAGATTCTTTTCATCCGCTGAGGTCTCTGTTTTTTGCTCGGAATTTTACATTTCCAGGCCTTCTATTGTGATTGTAAATTTCTCTTGCTCAGAAATTTCTAGTAAATTTAGAAAAAAGTACAAAGAAACTGAAAGTAACACACTGAATTAAATGTGAAATTTTAAAGTAGAAATGTATTTTGTAATGTATTTTTTATGTAAATTATGTAACTTCCCACATTGCATTTACTGTACAGCAGTACAGCATGTTTAAAATACACTAAGTATCTGCTGCTGTTCTGGATATTATTTTCTTTATATTTCATACAATCTACAGCTGATTTAAGGCTTTTTAAACTAAAGGGAGCTTTGTCCATGTTCATCAGGTGTGTTTGGTGCTGAAGCAAATGAAATGCATTCAGTGTCAGTGATGGAGGGAGATTCTGTTACTCTAAACACTGATGTTACTGAATGCAAAGGCGGCAGGATAGTGTTGTCATTGGGAGCTGAAAAGTCTCTCATAGCAAAAATCAAAAGAAACAAACAAATCTTCTCCATATCTGATGTTCTTGATGGGAGATTCAGAGACAGACTGAAGGTGGACAATAAAACTGGATCTGTGACCATCACAAACATCACAACTCAACA